AGGGGATGGATGGGGGGAGTCACTTTTGCGATGATTTTGCGTGACAAATCTCATCAAAAATCAATTCATTCTTTGACAAGGCAGAGGTGTCTGAAGAGTTTTCCCTCTAATGACTCCAATGATAAAGTTCTTCCTTTTTGCACTTGCTTCCCTTGCTGAAGGAAGGTGTGTCATGAACAAAAGGCGTAATTGGGGAAACCACTCACTAACACATGCCAGCACCTTCCGTTCGGGGTCACGCCTCAGGGCAATTTCTCAGAAACATGGTGGATCAGAAGTGGAGGACGGTGAGGGCTTGATCGCCCTCGTCTTCATCGGAAAGCGACCGACCCTCCCGACCCGGGCTGATAGGGTTTGGGCCGATGGATGGCCTTCGGCGATGTCGATGGCATGTCTTTTCAATTGATCCTGTAGAAAACTGTCCACGGCGCAGACTGGCAGATATGGCTGAATCGATCCCTGCATTCCTGGCTGAACAGTTCCGAACTGGTCCGTTGATTCGGTTGCGACCGAGGGAGGTTCCCAAGTCCGTTGGCCGAGATGTAAATCAAAGAAACAGCATTCAGTCACTGGTGAGTCATGACAGTCATGAGTCACCTCTCCCAGGGTGTTGGTGTTTTTTTGCTTTGCTTCACGGAGTACGATTTCCATCAGGTCAAATTCCGCATCCGCTGGCAGGAGTTGCTAGAGGGCCTGGCTGGCGGAGTCGTGGATGTTCACGGCGTTTGCAGTCATGAGAATCAGGATGATGGAGATACACTGCGGCTTGGACTTGGGTTTTTAGGTGGTGGAGCAAAGTCTGCGCAGAGTCTGATTCTTCAGGTTTGCTCGGGCCAAATTGACTCGACCCAATTTCAATTCGGCGGAGACTGGAAGGAATCGTGACTTTCGGACCAGAGTTTTTTTAAAATTCCAGTATATGTTTGGCATGTGCCTCACTCCTCCATCACAGTCTTTCGTACTCCGGCCAAACAATTCGAGAAAAACACCCCTCCCGCTGAACATGGGACTCTCCAAACCGCTGGCGTTGAACCAACGGGTCTTCCACCTTCATGGGTCCAGATCCGCACCGGTCCGCGGCGTGGACGGATCCCAAGGCAAATGCTGGCACGCATCGAGTTCAAGTTGGAGGAGTACCTGGCATACCTGGACGAGGCGAGACCGAATCCAAGGGATTTGTTCGAGAACTCCACTCCGGCATACTGCTGAGGTGAAATGAAGTTTCTGAAGGCCGTGCTAGATTTCACCAGTATTATATGCATGTATAATATATGTATATATATATATGCATATATCACGGGTTCAAGGTTCATTCCGAGCTGCTACGACATGCCTCACCGCTGATTGTTCCAACCAACCGGGTGCCCAACAAGACTTAACAAGAGTGTCAGAGTTGGCCTTTGGCCCTTCAGCATGGGTTCAATGAAGCAACACCTTTGGTGAATCTGAAATTAGAGCCATCTGGTGGGGTAGAGGTGTTGTTTTTCTCCGTACGAGACAGCTCTGGCCTGGAGTGGAACACTCACGCTCCGCTATGCAGGCGGAAGAATCGGGCTTGGGCGCACGTGTGCTGGCGGAAGAGCACAAGAAGGCGTCTCGGACCGTGTGTCGGAAGTGTGTCGGGCGCCGCTTTTTTCGGTTCCCGGCGGGGGTGCCGGGTTCCACGGGGACGGGCGTTGAGAGGTGTCGGTGGCGAGTCCCCAGGAGTTGAGCCTCACAGTGAGATGATTTGATCGGAAAATGGCAGGCTTTTTTGAAGATCAACATGGACACACCCCTCACACCTGTTCTTTTTTTCAGGTAAAGGATAGTTTAAGGGATGTTAAGGGAACATGATCCACCTGAAGTCTGTGTTCAGGATCCGTTTGAGTTTTTTTACCATTGAGGTCTACTTGCCCACAACTCCTTGTGTGATTTTTGGACTCACAGCTGGCCGGCTTTCAGAGCTGGTAGGTCTTACTGTGAATGGTCACTGAATCAAGAAGCTGTTGGGGAAACTGATACACATCAATATACCAAAGTAATACACCAAAGTATATATAACCAGCCAAAAGGCAGACATTTTGCACAGTTGGATATAACACGTCCCCGATCTAAGAGTTTCTGGCTTTAAATCTGCTCACGATAAGAGAGCCTTAAAGCTTGCTTGCGCCTTTGACCTTACCCATTGGATCGAAGTCCCTCGACCTGAGCTGCCTCGACCTGAGGAGCGGCAGCGGCGATTGGACCTGCGGCTGAGCCGCAAGCTGCATCAAGAGAAGAAGATCGAAGACCGCCTCAAGGTTCCATGTGTTCCATGTGTTGGGTCGTTCTCCTATTTTTGTGCGTCGCCGAGAGAGTCGACCTGGCCTGCCTAGCATGGTATTTCGATGCTGAAGGCAACTTTGGTTGGTCGGTTTTATGAAGCGATCTGCTCAGACTTGGTGTTTGGTGCAGAATGTCTCGAAACTTCGACTTGGCCTATTTTCTGGGACTTCGTAGAATGCCCTGAGCAAGAGCACATCTGTCTTTGACTCAAAATGAGGCTCCGTGAAGAGCACATCGTTTGGGCCTTCCAATTCAACTCTTTGAAAATCACCCAAAACAGATCTCCAAAACCAGCTTCTTCTTCTTCTTGTCTTTTTTTTCCAGTTTTCCACCGGTCGTTTCCTTGGGGGGCGGGCTCTTTGGGTTCACCAGAAGCGCCGAGCCACCAGAAGCGCCGCGCGCCTGAACTGCCAGGCCTCGTTGCATCGATCCCAAGCTCCGGTGCACAAGAAGGCGGGCGGAAGCCGGCCGGTGGTGGTTTTTTGGGTTTGCTTCAAGGGTTGGATGGTAGCTGTTCGAGTCCATAACCACACAGAGATGCTGGCTTATCCTTTTCCCACTGTGGCACTCACTCCGTCCGGCTGCCGCACCCAGGTCGGGAAGCAGATCATGTTCCGCTCAGCTCCACTCTTCCAAGCCCGTGGGGGATGCCCAACGCGCCCGTTCAACGCGCCTAAGGGGCGCCGAACGGACGGAGCCGGTAACTGTTGCTGTAACAAGAAGAAGAAGAAGAAGAAGAAGAAGAAGAAGAAGAAGAATTGAAGAATTGAAGAAGAATTGAAGAAGAATTGAAGAAGAATTGAAGAAGGACAAGAACAAGAACAAACAAAAACAACTTACATATGGGATTTCTTTTGATTGGACTTCGAAAAAGGGCCATCGCTGGTGATCCATGGCAACTTGTGAGCCAATAGGGCCACCTATGGCCCCGTGCAGGGCCCACACGTTTGTTGAGAACGGAGTGTTCGACTTGGTGCCGCGAGGTCGGGTGGTTCAAGAGGATGATGGCTATGAAGAGAACGTTCGAGAGCACAACATCTTTGGCATTTGGCTCGACAAAGATGGAGTTCCCAATGCTCAGCAACCTGATCCTTGGAAGATTTGGAAGTTCCAGCTGGTTGGGCCATTTCTGAAGTAGGGTTTGAGGGCTTGGCTTTGCTCGCAATTCATTTGTCGCATTAAGAGCCAGCGGAAAGGGAAAGGACGTCTTTACCTTCTGAGGGTTTGCACCGATGACCTCGAATTGGGTACACACTGGAAACTTGAAACCTAACATTGACATGAACTATTATCAGGAACCAAAGACGACCCCATGCAAGACTATTCTCCATTTCCTTTACAGACCACACCAATTTTGGGGGTCCATGTTAATTTGAGGTTGTGCTTGTGTGAGAAGCATGATGCCAACTAAGACCCCACCGGCCGTTTTTTTGGCATATTTTTTTGGCCGAATCTCATCCGTGCGAGCGAAGTGCGGTGGAATATCATTTCCCATCCTGTCATTATTTGATATTGTGTGATGGACACCTGCGTGGACTGGATATCGTTTGTACCAGACTCCACACATGGGCACGCATGGGAATGGGCCCCACTTCTTTGTGTGTTTGGCTGAGGAAAAGGTGGAGGGCTGATGGAGTCGTGTAGCCGAATTTGTGCTCACCGCAAAATTGTGGCGAGCAGCATCAAGGATGCTCTGGGACTGGAAATCTGAAGAAAGATGTGAAACCCAGAGGAAGAGTTAGTGGATTTCCATCTTAGACCCAGAAGTGGCATTGGCTATCCTTTCTTTTTCAGGTGGCAAGACCTACTTTTCAGACGGAAATCCAGTGACTCTGTTAATCACCCGCCATGAGGGCATGGTGGCATAGTGAGCTAGGCCTCTCCAAAAAAGGTCCCAGGCGCCGTTTCACCCATTGTCTCCGCCTTCCACCACCGATCTCTGCCCCTGGCTCGGCCAGCAGCAGGGCGTGCGGGGGTTCGATTTCCATAAATCGGGAAGTTGTCTCACTGCACGCTTGAAAAGGCAAGAAAGGACGAGTAAATTCAGGGAGCTGAGAGGGGTCTACATGAGAAATGTCTACATTCGATCATAAAGATGCGAAGAGGCAAGTCTGAACTGGACACTTTTGCTGGATCAAGCGGTCTTCATCATGTGTTTTCACGATGTTTTCGGTCACATGCCGTCAGAACCGGATCATTAACGGGGTAATATATCGCTGGTGCTTGCAACGAGCAGCAAACTCCAGCGTTTCCGGCTCATGTTGATGGCACCTCACATGTCCAAGCCTGAGATCGGCACCTGAAAACAGGGAAAGACCAACAGAGGTTGAAGGACCCTAATGTACTCTTGATATAATAACCCCCGCCGAGGTTTACATGGAAATCCTTTTCATATAGGGTGGCTCATCAAGAGTCTACATGAAACATACTATCCCAGTTCGGTACCCCAGGTGATGAGTCGGTCCTATTTACGGTCACAAGGCACGGATGTGCAGCCCACATGGTGCGACACATCACCGTGACAGATGCGCGCGTTCCGCAGCTTCTTTTTTCCTTGAAACTGCGTGGGGGCAAAACGATGCAACACGGAGTTCTTTTGATGTTATGCTCAGGTCAAATGTGGATGAATTCGATATCACTTGGTTACATGGGTCGCAAGCACAAGCGTGTTTTTCCGCGACACTGGGCGTGAGGCACAGGCCCTTGCAGAAGATCTGGGGGAGGCAGAAAGCTCTACAGACAAGGCCAGCATGTCTTTATTCCTCAATTCACTTCTGCTTCAACTGTCTTAGCCCCTGGTCTTGACAAACTACTCGTACATCGAACTACCACAGTTTTGCTCGGTCTTTTCTCTGAGTCGATGTCTTCACATGGATGAACGAGGAACCAGCCCTTTAAGTCGGGGCTTGGGAGAGTGCTTCTAAGATTTTAGAAGCAGGCAACTTGATGTGTTCAACAACTCTCCGTGCTCTAACAACTCTCCGTGCTGGATTTGTTTCACGCACGTCTTCGCCACAAAACACATCGCCCGTCAGGAGATCTCTCCCATCGTCCTCTCCGATGTGCACCGACTCTGGGGTCGCCGCCTCGGAAGCGGACGGGCTGTGCACATCCGTGGCTACGCCTGAAGAAGCAAACGGGCTGAGGAGTGCTGACAACGCCGAGAAGTTGCTCCATGGTTTTCCCATGTTTTCCCCTTGGTGAGCAGAATGAGCATCCACCAAACAATGTTATAGATTCTATTATAGATGTATATGTACCGTATATGTATTTGTCTGGTATTTTCCAAAGCTTTGAGGAATTGGCAGATATTTTTTTGCAATCAATTTTTGGAATCACAACTCAACAGGTCCCCTAATTGTGTTGACTACCTTGGAACGTTCCATTTTGCCCAGCGCTTTTGTCGCCGACTAAGGCGATCTGCGTGGGGCCTTGGACTTGGCAGAGGAGGCAGAACGCTTTGGGGAAGCTGGGAGAAAACGCTTGAGATTCATAGAGGACCTCACTTGAGATAGAGAACCTCACTTGAGGTCTCTTGGGAGAACCTCATTAATCTTCGGGGTCTCAATGAGATAGAGAACCTTGCTGACGTTCTGAGCCAATCCTTCGTTTCTGAGTTTCACTGGCAATCCACCACCTGTGAGCCTGCAAGGCTGCCGCTAGCTTCTCCCAAGCTCAAGAGCAGCAAAAGGCCTCCTCCGGTGTGGCTTGCGGTTTAGCATGGGTCAAAGTGGGATTGAACAAGTGGCCCATGACAGTCGAGCCAGGTCTTTTTGATTTTGGTTGAGCCCACGTTTTGGGGTGCTGAGACAGGTCTGAGACGGATGAGACTCGGCACCGACACCAAGAAATCGGTGTCTTTGTGGCTCACCCGGGTGGAAGTGTTTTCAGAAAAAGGACGCCAGGCGCGCCACCGGGAGCGACGATGGCTCGTGGCTCGAAGTGACAGGCTGCGGCTCTGGTGGCGCTCAGCCGCGCGAGAGCGGAGAGAGCAGGCGGAGTGGTCGGGTCGGTGCATTTGCACACACAAGTGGCAGAGGTGTCGTGTTGTTTCTTGGTGGCTGGAGATGGCCGGATGTTTTCATGGTGCACGAGCTTACCTGTGGTGATGAAAAAAGGAACACCATTCTCTTTTACCTTTCAAGCTGGATGTTTTCGTGGTTTCGTGCTGCGCTTAGTCTCCGTCGACTCTCAAAAGCATGTGGTGGTCTTAAGGCTTGAGGTCCAGGCACTCTTCCGCGTCCCACGGCGCACGCCAGGTCAGCGACAAGAACCTGAGACGCTGGCGCAGCTGGAGTTGCTGGTCCAGGAGGCTTGATATGGCTTGATGTGATCTTGGACCACGGTGGACCATGCCAGCAGGGCAAAACCAAGCAGCTATTTTGGGTGATATCATCTCTAACAGAAGTGAGACGACATGGAACAACCTTTACCGTCCATGACTTTTACCTTTACCGTCCATGACATGGCAAAAGTATAATCCTCGGTTGGTAGTCACAATATATATATTATATATATATATATATACGTCAAGGGGGTACCTGGAGCACCTGGACCAGTCGCAGATTATGGCAGATCAACAGTGACAGCACTGGTGATCAACAGTGACTAGTGACGACTGTGACTGTATCAACAGTCGGAATCCAATGGCCTGACTCACCACGCTCGCTGGAAAGCGCCCAGGCACAGCAACGGCCGGGCACTCCGACTTGTTCGGACGCGCGACGACTGTTCGGAGTGCGGTGACGCTTCCAGAGGTGACACAAGCCAGAAGAAACTGGATGTTTGGATGTTTCTTCAAAGCAAGACACCACTCACCTAGAGAGGTGTTGGGATGAGGGCGTCCTTCGTTGTTCTTGCTTGAAACGACCCGAGTCGCTAGGCCGCGAGGGAACGGACTGGCGAGATGCTTAGGAAAGTGCTGAGGAAGATCTCCAGTGCTTAGCCTGCTTCCACTGGAGGGGCGACATGAGTTTCTGATGCAGGCTTTCAACATGCCCGACCTTTACTACACCTTTCTAACACATGGGAGTTACTCATACCTGCGTGCGCAGTCTAGATGGGTTTCGGGGGCTGCTTTTGTTTGAGCCGTCTTGAGGGTTTTTTGGTTCCTTCGTGCTGTCTGCTGTATGTCACCCCTGTAGATAGGATCAGGCCACCCTTAATTAGGAGATAAGCCACATTGCGGGGTACGGATGAGACTTGCCCCATCCCAATAGTCAGTGCATCTTTGCGACTGTTGAGGTTTCGAGTGCAGGTTGCAACAAGAGCCACTACAAGCTACCATCATCGTCCATGATCTGTTCGTTTTCCTATCCTCTGAGGCTGCACCAGGGTCGGCCCCCTGACCCTGCCCTGGCAGAGGCACAGGAGTTCCTTCTTGTCTTCTAGCATTGCAAGAGCCTTGTGATCTATCATTCTAATGTTCCTGGGACTCTTTGCAGATTCGGAAGACCTACTTCCGTGATTCTACTGGATCCACTTGGCATGTTATGTGTTCATTCTTTGTTAGCACTGCCACAGCCGCGTGGAGCTCGCGGCGGTTTGTGCCAGGGCTTCGGGCATTTGCTGGCCGCGGAAGCTGCTATGGTGCCATGGGCTTATGTTGGTCAAAACACGCCTGTGGGGGCTGTTAAGGATACTTCACCAGGATGTGGGTCAATCAACTCATGAGTTGATAACATATATAGATGAGTCTACGACACCTGGGGTTGAGCCATCTTTGTTGTATTCCAACAGACGCGCCCCCGCTTTCAACTGCTCTTCTATAGTTGGGCCTGCAGCCAGATGAAGTCATAGACTATTCAAAGTTGAATCCTTGTCAAAGGAGGCGAAATGGAGAAGTTACCCCAAGAGGAAGCGCTTACAAAGTTGGTTTGACTTGATAGGGCCAGGAGCACGTTTTCCACTCTGTGGGTTTCGCAATTTGCACAAGTTTGTGGTGGCAAATGGGGCCGGGATTCGAGCTGGAAAGCGAGAGAAACTGTGATACTTCATTTCTTTTGATAATCAAGCTTTCCCCACTCCAGGGCCAATGTGTTTGTGTAGTTATATAGTTATTTTTTCTTGTAGGCTTTGGCAATCCAGCGGCAATCCACCCCGGCTCCGTGCAGGATCTATCAGGTCCTGCAAAAGTAGAACGTTTCGAAGCGCGAAGCGTTACAAAATATGCCCGAAGAAGCTTGATCCCAGGTATGTCTTCCCAGGTTTGCGCTAGCGACATCAGCGGTGGAGCAGCTACTTGTGCAACTTCAAGTCACACACTTATATATGTCTCCATGGCAAGTCCCCAAACTGACATCAGGAGGATTGTGTCCCAGACTGAGCTTCTTTTCTGTCGTGCTGGGTCCCTGCACTGGATCCAGTTGAACGACGAAGGACTGAGTGAGTCTCGGTCAGGCGACGGAGGACTGGGCGAAAGCCTCCCACGCGGCCAAGGCGGCGATCGCGTGCTTCAGGCACCGCCTCCGGTCGTTTGCGACGGGTCGGGGTCGAGGTCCGAGCGAGCTGGTCCGATCGGATGGAGCTGGTCTGGCCGTTGCTTCTGGACCTGGCCGTTGGTTCGGAATCGTCTCCTGTCTCTTTTAAGGCCGGAGACGTCCGGGTCCGAAGACGGACGCCCGTTCCGAACGCTGAAGCTCAGGCTCCGTGATGAGGTGGCTCAGGCCAGGACGTCAGATGGGTTCACAGGATGGGTCATGCGGACTACTACGCAAGCCTCCAATCAACAGGTTTATCACAGTACTTCTGAAGGTGAAAGCACTGGGCACTGTCTGTCTTGGCCTGTGATATTCACGGACTTGAAGACTACATGCCGAATGAAGCCACTCCTCGACTCCTCCTGGCGATCTCTTCCCCTCGTGGCGGCCCGGCACAGAGGCCGCGGCACTGCTCTTGATGGGCCTGGCCGGTTTTCAGAGCAACGCACCGAGGGAGGCAGTGTCTTGGCCCTGAAGAGGGTGGAGCTGTACGAGATCGACGAGTTGGGTAGGTTGAAACCGAGGACAAGAACAAGGTTCCCGCAGGTTCTCGGTATTTTGTTGGGCCGGCTTACAGGGCTGCTGCCTCATCCGACTCATCCTCTCAAGGGGTTCGGCTTACAGGTCGCACATGATAGAGACGTTGCTCGGCAAAACAGTATTTCAAAGGACACTTCTTGTTCACACAAATAGATCTAAATGTCCCATCTGTGTGCCTTGTCAACGCCATGTCCTCATGGATGTGTGCACATTGGCCACTTTCAACTTAATTAGATGGTTCTTCAGGTTCGAAGATTTGACTGCGCAGCATGTGCATATTATGAACTCCCCTTTCCAAGGTTCTACCAATCATTAGAGTCTGTTTGCACCTATACAGTCAAGACCAGTCGCAAGGAAGTCATGCCCGGAGTTGACTCCTCATCGGTTGTGCGGCGCCCTCTGGGCCAATCTGGTGCTTTGCTGGGCCAATTTCAGCTCATTGTCAATGTAGGGTCGCCGCTCCTTCAGACTGTGTAACATCCCAGGGCTTCCCAGTCCGCCCATCGAGAGGGGGCCCAAAGCCTGGCCCACTGGGCTGCCGCCCTGCGCGCACGAAAAAGCTCCGTTCGACTGCGTCCTTTTCCTATATTAGTAAGCCCCTAGTAGCGTCCGATCGCTCCTAGTAGCGATGCCCTTTGCTCCGTTAGTAGCGTCCTTACCATTTGTTCATATCTTTTCGCCCAAGGTCTCTGCAGCCAACCTCGCGGCGGCCGCCTGTCGCGCCCAGCGGAAGGCCGTCGACTCAGGGCTGTGGAAGGCAGATCTGTCCAATTACCGAGATCCAGTGGCCACTAATTGTTTCTGCTTGCCACTAGGAGCAATGTTCTCTGCTAGGGGCTCCTGGCATCGCTACTAGGAGCGATCGGACGCTACTAGGGGCTCCTGGCCGTGCTACTAGAAGCAAGAAGCTACTGTACTACTGGGAGCTTTTGAAATAAACACGTTGTCAGTGGTTCCAACGACTGAAGCCACAGACCCAACGAAGTCCTGGTTCCTTACACATAGTGGTTGATTTGGGATCCTCTGGGTCCACATGCCTGGTTGATCTGCAGTTTGGCTCGAAGAAGCTTGCTTTGGCTCTATCTTGTTGACTTGTGGTGTATCTCTGCTCATGGCCATGGTACTTGTGCAGATTGCTGCTTGGTCAGCAGTGTGGTCGACGCTCTGGTGCAGTTCGCAGGCCATGAAGACCCTGGCCGACCAAGATGCAGCAGATGCTGACGCAGTGGCCCGATGCTACAGTGGTCCAGAACAGAGCGTGTGGGAACTGGTGATGGGGAAGCAGATTGACATCGGCGGTGCATCTTCCACCTTGGAGCTGGCGAGAAAGGCTGGCGTTGGACCAGGGATGAAGGGAGTTGAGCTGAATTGCAACAATGGTGGAGGAATGCGCGCCCTTGTTCGTCTTGCTGGTGTGGACTCCATGACTGGAGTGGATCTTACGAAGTCCGTGGTAGAGACTGGCAAGAAGAGGACGGAGGAGGAGGGGCTAAGCGACAAGATCAAATTCATCAACAAGAATTCCTTGGAGAATGGACTCCCTGATCCTTGGCTTCAGTTGAGCGAGACGACTGGGTCTCGTCCCACCACAAGGTGATACAGCCTGATACAGCTGTCATCCACATAAGGTATGTCTTAGGATCCTTCGGTAGGAGTGATGTAAATGAGTGAAAGCACAGTTTTCAAAGCTTTTTTGGTCCTCTATTGAGAAGATGATCCCAACGCAGCAACTGACTAAGATTCTTGTGTAAATCCAGTGACCGTTTACGAAATGGATGTCGGCTGTAGCCATTTTGATGCAAAGGGATCGGTGCTGCTTTTGCCTGTTGGTCGGTCTGCAACTGCATGCTTAGCTTTGGCCATTTTAACCTGTTTTGCATGCTCAGGATGCTTCCGCCGATTTTGTGTACAGCAAGGATGCTTGGTGCTATATGCCTGACAAACAGCTGATCATTGATCAAGCTGCTCGCATTGTAAAGCCCGGAGGAAAAGTCATGTTCACAGACTGGATTGAGGGTGAAGGTCTTTCAGACCCGGAAGCGCAACGATTCTTGGGCCTTATGACATTCCCTGCCATCCCAACGGTGAAGGAGTATGCGCAGATGCTGGAGAAGGCAAACTTTGAAGTTGAGATCGCCGAGAATAGTGGCCGCTTCTCACCTGCCATGCAGAGCTATGTGCACATGCTGAAGTTGCAAGCAGTGTATGATGCGAAGAAGTTGCTTGGCTGGGACGAAGAGGCATACGACAAGTTGATCTCGGACTTTGAGTTCATGGCCAAACTCGCTCGCGAAGGTAAGATCATTCAGGGTATGTTTGTTGCCCACAAGAAAGATGTTCGCCGTGAGATGTGAGTTGCAGCAGGCCAGGCACTTTCCGGAAAGTTCCTTGCTAGCAAACTTGACCTTCCAAGGCCTTGATTAATTAGATTCCGCTGCTTTGCTAACCAAGAATTGTGTGCGAGCATGCTCACACTCCATGTGGCTCAAACGTATGGTGTGTACATGTGTGTACTATCCAAACCCACTGGAAAGAGACAATCGACCAAACCTTGGGGTTCCTGACCCCATCATTTAATCGAGCCACATCCCTGTGTTGCAATGCAGTTGTTTGAAAGAGATACAGGCGCCACTCACCAGTAACCAGTACTACCAGTGGTGCTGTAACTTGAGGCCAAGGCTTGTATAGAAAAGGTCTTTCGCCATCGTTCCATAGCAGGGTGATGCAAAGATTTTAATGGAGATTATCTCGAGCACTGTGGCACATATAACGCATATAATATATTCAATGGTCTTGGACTCGGCTGTCGCTCGATGTCAATCTCCTCAGTTGGATTTGCACAGCTTATTAGTCCTCACGAGGTCCAATTGCTCGTGATGTGCTCCTGCCTTGAAGCTTCACTTCGAGCGTCCTATTCTAGTCGCTGCCGAAGGGTGTGCGAACACAGACGAAGTGTGTGGACAAAGCAGGAGGGGCGTCGGTTAAAAGGAGCTTGCGCTTTGCTAGCACAGATTTGTGGACAACCCCTTGCAATTTTTGAGTTGCCGCATCTTCCAGATGGATGTCCCAGCGAGATTTTTGCGGCCAACGCAAAGCTTGGGGGGACAGAAGCATCATGGGAAATAACAGAATTAACACGAACGGAAAAAAGACAGGTACTCTTCCGTGATTTCTTGGATGCGTCCGTCCAAGGTCCCAAGGTTGGATGGTCTTGCTCCATCTTGCTCCTTGCTCCTTCCGACATCGGAGAGTCCAGATCTCGCAGGAGTGGCTTCCGAAGCCAACGGAAACTGCTTCCTCAGCAGAGTCCGAAAGCTCCATCCATCCATCCATCCATCCATCCATCCATCCATCCATCC